AAAACTCCATAGAATACGAGGAAATGTGACAGATGCATGATGAATCCTCTTGAGCCTTCTCCCTCCCGAACTTCCCAGAATCTGCTGGGGTTATCACGCTTAGTTGGAGGCTCTTGGTCCATAGCTACATCAGATCTTAGATTGCTGTCTGGAGTGGGCCTTTGAGGCCCAGCTATCCACAGTTGAACCCAAGAGAGTGGGTAATCACGTGCTATGATACAGAGACTATTTTGTTACTACCTCATCTGCTCCTAATTCCAGGTATGAGAGCCTCACCAAGGCAGAGCCAGGTGCCACCTGTCTGTGACTGAGACAGGGGGCCAGCTCCAGCCCAGGCATGAGTGTGTGCCCAGTGCTCACCCATTCTCTGTGCCTTCTGGAGGATTAGAGTTACCATGTACAGGGTGCCTGCTGCCAGCCAGACACTGCTAAGCATGTTGGTGAGTTATATCTCACAGTGGCCCACCAAGTGGATGTCATTCCTCTTCCCATTTCACAGATAGGAAAACTGTATGAGGGTGAAGGTCAACCCAACTGGGACCTGAAATTCAGGTCTTTTTGAATCTGAGAGCTATGTTCTTGTCACTACACTGCAGTCCCCCTCTCCACCCTGTGGTCACAGTCCCTTGGTTAGCAAGCTCCTAGTCCTGCCCTCCTGGGGAGGCCTGTGTTCTGCATGGTGATGTCAGGGCAGATAGGAGGAGTCTGTTCATGTCATCCTCCTAGTGCACCCTGGGCCTTCCCTTCTCCAGAGTAAATTACTCTCTTCCTCCAGCATCTTTCTTCCTTTTCTACAATGGGAGACATGTCCATCCCAATCTCTCCAGAACTGCAGCGTGAGGGTTTCCAGGAACTATAGGCTGGACCACAAGTAGGTGTGTATGTCTGAAGGCACAGGTACATATTTCAAGGCACTGCATTGCAGTGGAAAGGACAGGGGTTTTAGAGTCAATCAGAAATAAATAACAGGCTCATGTCATGTAAGTAAACATTCAGTAGTTGGCACTATTAACATTTGTGTGTGTGTACCTGTGTCGAGTATACTTGTTGGTTAGTCCTTAATGCTGAGACTCTTGACGTGGACAGTGTATTCCCTGTGGTCTTGAATAAGAAAAGCCAACAGCATGTGCAGAGAAACACCACCCTACCCTGAAGATGCCGCAGTGCATGCTGGGAGGATGCTGCTACTGATTGTGGCAGCTGTGAGTTGTCCTGGTGATGGCTGCTTTGCTTTGGGGGAGACTCTTGCATCTCTTCTGAGCCTCCGGAGCAAACACACCCTTCCTGGTTGCTCTACTTGCAGATAAAAGCTTGGAGTGGCAGCCCAGGATAATATCGTGAACATCCCTCCACCTCAGGAGACCTTGCTGTTGCCCTACAACTGGTAGGAGCTCTTCCTGGTCTCCTCCCAATGCTTCAAGCAAACACACACACACACACACACACACACGTCATCTGTGCAGCTGGTTTCTGTTCTGGGAGCTTAGTGAATGGACACTCTTGGGCCCTCAGTAAGAGTGGGAGATGGTGTGCAATGAAGAGAAGGGTGTACTTTGTGGGCCAAGAGTTCACCTAGACAGGGCCATGTAATTTGCACGAAGGTACCACATAGGCTGGGGACATCCTGAGCACTTCCCTTGCTCTGCTGTGTCTGGGCTCTACTTTATCCCTGAAGCCCACCCTACATGGAGACCACACAATTGATGGAGACACAGGGAGGAGCCTCCAAGGCAGTCATTGCACTGTTAGGTTATGGTATGTTATCACCATCACAAAGCAGTGTGTGCCTCAGATGCCTTCACCCCATCCCTGATCCTCACCCTCATGGGACATGGGGAGAAAGGGGTGAATCATAGTGATGGGTTAGAGGTCCAGGGTGGGGCAGGGTGAGAGTGAGAGATGGGGGTGAATTCTTTTGCAAATGTAGCTTTACTAGTATTTTTTTTTAAATTGCCTTCAGACTCAGGGGTGTAAATGGCAAATCCTCCCCTCCCCCCACAACACACCTAAGCAAAGTCTCTACAGCCTCTTGGGTCCCAGAGGCTTCTCTTTGTGGGCATGTGTGTCCTCTATCCTGGAGCATCCCTCACTTCGCAGGTACATAGAGCACTATACTTCTCATTGAGCCTTGGAGAGCAGGGTGGCATACCCAAGATGACCACTAGGTGACGCTGCTGGGCGTGGAGGGAGCACCGAGGTGCAGCTGCAGACCCATACCAGCCTGGGAGCTGAGGGCAGATCCCTGTCAACCTACAGCAAATCAAGCCCTGTCCAAGCTGCCCCATCATTCCCCAAACTTACACCTGGGGCCAGGGCACTCCCTACAGCCGGGTGTTCCGCCATTAGCCTCACTCTGCCGTCTCCAGCTAGATTTCAGCCTTCTGCCTCTCCAGTGACTTGACAGGGTTGGCTGAGGCACTTCCAAGGACCCTTGTGCCTCTGGTGTTGGGCAAGTCTAGAAGACGATGGGGTCTTTTGTCTTCTGGAGTTCTGCCGCATTTTGCTGACAGGGTATGAAGTAGGGACCAGGGTGGAGGCCTTTGAGGAAAGAGACGTGGGGAAAGAGGGCACCAGTGGCTTATTCTCTGTGCCTATAAGGCATTAAGGTCTAGGTTTCCACTGTGCTCCTCTTTGCCCCAGGGCCTGGAGAATGAAGGAATGTAGAGTGACCCTCTTGCAGCTGGCCAGTGTATGGCTTAAACATTTTTCCTTTAAAAGAAAAAAGAAAGACATCTTTCTAACATCACAATATCCATCCACTTTTTTTTTTTTTCTTCTGGTGCTGGGGATCAAACCCAGGGTATTGTAGGACAAGTGCTGTACCACTGACTTATAACCCCAGCCCTACAGTCACTATTCAAAATTTTTTAAAGTTTTAAAAATGGTGGTAGCGCCCATCCATTGTTGAAATGTTCATTAAGCATCTTCCATGTGTGGTAACTGAGCTGGGTGGGGGGGGCGGTGCAGGATGCTCTGAGATATATCAAAAGAAATGTGAGTTTCTTCCCGGGCTCAGCTGCTCCGTGCTACATGGTGACTCTCTGAGGTTCTGTTTTCTCATCTGTAACATGAGACAATAGTGCAAATCTCCCAGAAATATTATAAGGACTCAACTAGATGAGATAGGCAAAGGATTGGGCACACAGGAAAGTCTCTGAGTAACTCTTCGTCACTTTTCCTTTTAGAAATACACATGCCAAACCCATGGAAGGCATCACCCTGGCCCAGAAACCCATATCTTGGCATCACGTCCTTGGTATCCCCCCCATAAGCATTTTAGAATTAAATCTTAAAATATATATGTATACACTTTCTGACCCTGTCTGTGTTCCAAGCCAAGCCACCACTTAAAGCCATGGAGGAGCTTACAAGGTGACACTTGCCAGGATAAACAGGCACTGGCAGCCAAAGAAGTGACGCCAAGGCTGTGGACAGAGCACAGGCGCTGGCACAGAGGCCTGCCATTTGTCCCCATTCCTTGCCACCAGCATGGAGGGCTGGATACTAGCATTGGCCATGAGAGGTGTTAGGAGAGGCAGCTCCCCGAGGGAGAGGAAAGAAGAGATGCCTGGGCCCAGGTGTGGAGCTAGTCCTCAGAGAAGATACTCCAAGCGTTCTTATGAGGGTCCACAGCATGCTCCCTGCCCACCCCACCCAGCCTTCCTTGGCCAGCAAGACCTTGATGTGATGGCAGCTGCCTGCCAGCCAGCCTCGGCTCAGTGTTAAAGAAAAAAGATACCTCTTAGGGGATTCAGAAACGTTCCTTTTGGCAGCAAAAAGGAGCTCTCTCTCCCTCTGTGGCTGGAGGGAACAACGGGCAGGCAGGCTTGAGCAGAGAAGTCACCCGAGAGTGGGAATTCTTGGATTCCCTCCACTTCATCTCTGTCGGTCTCTGACTGCTGGAAATTGTCTTTCAGGGAGATGTTGGGGACTGAAAGATTGCACTGACTAACTTTCAATCACAAAGTAAAAGATAAACCATGGGACAGGACTGGGACCTCCTTATTACAGTGTCCTCAGGGGCTACCATGTGCCTGACACGCATGTTTGATAAAGGCTTGTTGGATGGATTAATGGAAGGGAGGAGAATGTTCTTCAATTTCATTCATACATAGGTGTACCCCTCATCATCTGAATGTTATTTTCGCCCTGGAAAGGAGAAGGGATAAAGTTCTGTTTGCTATTGTTGAATCTTATCTGTCTAGGCTGGCTAATGCCAACCTGCCTGGAATCCCAGGTTTGCAATGATCCAATGGTTCTGGATCATTTAGGATTCTGAGGCCATGCCCATGCCTTCTTACTCAGGATTCCACCACTGTGTAAGGTCTGAACTGCTTAGAGCTCAGACCCTGGTCCAGAAAATGGCCGCTCACCTCCAGCTCCCCAGCAGCCACCTCCCCATTAGGAGGCTGTTGGAACTGTCTTCCTGGACCCCACAGAGCAGCTGCAAATGCTCCCAAGTCTTCCTAAGTCAGTGGCCAGTGACATGTTGGCATATTAAAAGTAGCCATGGGAGGAATAGATGCACTGTGGAAGTAAGCAGACTCTACCCATCAGGGTGTCCACCTCCTCTGGGAGCCAGTTGTTAAGCGTGTACCAGCACACAGCACACTGATGGTCAGAAGGTTTCAAACAGACATTCTAATTGACCTCAACTATGGGAAACCTTGGCCATAACCTCTGCCGTGAGAAGCAGGGCTTCCCCCAAACAAAGCCAGAGGTAGAAGCGGACACTTGAGGGGTCTGAGAGGAGTCTATGGACACAAAGACCACATCTGCAACCCTTGCTAGAGCTAGGGCTCAGAGGGCCCAAGGACATGTGTCCACAGGGTTTAGGAAGACCTGCTATGCTGGTCATCTTTGGGGAAGAGAAGAGTCAGGTGACTAGATGCCTCTAGGGACTGGCCTGTCAGTGACATAGTCAGTCTCCTCTTCCCTATCCTCTGCCTCCAGCAGGAAGACCTCTCTGCTCACCCAGCTCTTCCTGCTCTCTTTGGCAGATCCAGAGTCCCAGAGGAAGAGGACGGTACAGAACGTCCTGGACCTTCGACAGAATCTGGAAGAGACCATGTCCAGCCTGCGAGGCTCCCAGGTGACTCACAGGTAAGCTCAAGCTGCACAGGGGATCGAGCTCTCCACCATCATCCTGGTCCTCCCCCTGGTCTGGAAGGTGGGAGCTCAGGGTCTCTGCACACTCCACCTCTCCAACCCAGGTCAGCCAGGTGGCCTGCTGAATGTGCAGGTTTTCAGAGCCCCACCAAACCAGCACCACATCTCAGCAGAAGCAGCTGAGCTTGGTTCCCCTCTGTGCTGAGAGTTGGATTTCACCTATGCGAATCACCTTGAAAATCGATAGGTAGGATTTGGAAACTTGCATGTGGCCTGTGATACTCATGCCCCTCCTTAGACCACAGTCTCATCTGTCCAGAGGGGTTAGTTTACTAAATGCTCTCATTGTGCTGGAGTACAGGATCAAGCTTCCCAACACCTGGGGCTTTCACTTCTTTGTCAGTTAGGTGCCCTCTGGCCTCTTCCACCACCCATGTTGGCAGGGCCTACAGAGTGTCACCCAAAATATCATGCCTAGTGGGTGGCCCCACCTCTGAGCCTCCAGCCGCCTGGGGTACGCACCCCTCCCACAGCACCTCTCCCTGGAGCAGCGTCCTGGCCACAGCCTCTGTGTGATTCAGACTTTCCCAACTGGCTCCTCTGGGCTGCCCAGATGAGCTCATGCTGTCAGCTTCAAGGGGGGCAGAGGGCTGGGCTAAGCTCTGGGGGGAGAGGGAGGAGAGCAGGCAGCCAGGACTGGGAAGTCATAGGGGTGGACAGGGAGGCTGTGCAAGGGACCAGAGCCTCTCCAGTTGGACTGGAAGTTGATTCCATCTCCATCTCCTCGGCTTAGAAAATTGACAAAGTTGGGACAGGGTCAGTGGAAAAAGGGATGTTCTTTGCTCAGTGTGTGGCCAGCCCAACTAGCATCCATACACCTTACAAACCCTCATCGCCGGAGAACGCTTCATTACCTTTTGATCTTCCCAGTTCATGTGGGGTTGCTGTGACTGTCACATGAAACTGAACTTCATCTTCAGGAGCTTTTGTCCATTGGCCCTAGTTCTTCATATTTAAGAGCACCCTTCCCTTCTTCCTCCCACTATCTGCCCCCACCTCCACTCCATGTCCTCACCTTGGACACCCAAGCCTGTATTCCCAGACATCTAGAATATTTTAAATGATACAACAAACCAAAGCATCCACTCTCTGGGGTTGCCTCTGCTCAGGTCATCAGGACCCTAACTATTGACAGGCTGGTGATCAAGGGGATCAGGGAAAAAGCTGGGCAGTGGGAATCCAGGAGCCCTGGGACTCAGGCCTCTTTATATCTGTGTCGGCCTCCATCCTTCAAGCCCTAAGCAGGAATCTAAGTGGAGAAGGGGCCTGACCCAGCTGGGCCTATCAGTTTAGCCACCTAATGAGTGAAATCTTGGACATCTTCCTTCTCCCATGCAGAGAAGTTGCTGGAACAACTCTCAGCGCCAAGTCACCCGCCAGCCTCATGCCAAAGAAGCCAGGAAGTGCTTAGTTGCTGAGTGGGTCACACCCCAAATGACTCACCCATAGGGGGCAGGCAGAGGCAGACTCTTCAGCCTCCTGATGCCCCTGACTCCAGCCCCCAGTGAAGCAGGACAGCTTCTGCTTGGCTGGGGAAGGGGAGGCTTAAAACCTTGGCATGAAGCTAAACAGCTGTGGGGAGGTGGAGGTAGCCTAGGGGCCTCTGGCTTCTATCTGCCTTTATGGGAAAGGAACAAGGAGCCCTGAGGCTGGATTTTCTGTTTACCACGGACTCAGAGCCACTTCCTCTCCTAGCCTTAGGTTTATATTATTCTCATTCCACACTTGGATAGCCCAAACACCCATTCCCTGACTTTTATGGCTCTTTTACTTTCTAAAGTGCTTCTCATCAATCAGCCCTTCCTGTCCTGGGGTAGGCAGGTTATATTCCTGTTCTCTGTGCTACAGAAGGAGCCGAGGCTGGGAGGTGCAGGCCAGTGAGGGCAGCTGTGCTCTGTGGTACTGAGCCCAGCTGTCAGCCTCCATCTGTGAGGAGCTCTCTGTCCTGTGGGTGCCTCCAACAAGCTTGTTCTCACCCTGCAATTCACAGGGTGACTTTAGACTCAGTTCCTTTACTCCTGTGCTGCTTCCTCTATTTCTATAAGCTCATTTCCCCATGGAAGAGAAAATCTGGGTTAGGGGCCATGGCTATTGAGGGACATAAAACTCTGGCCTCCCCAGAGAGGCAAGCCTGGAGCAGGATATAGGACTGGAAGTGAGGAACGGAGAACCTGAACTAGAATCCTCCCCTGCCAACTTCGGTCTAGAGACATGCAAAGATGTGTTTGGGAAATAAAACAGCCATGAAATTAGGTAAGAGGCACTTTTAGTGCAGAAAGCTAAATGGGGCAGGCCAAGAATATAATGGAAGACCTGGATGTCAGTATGACCCTTACTTCTATATGGCTAACTATCCAGACCAGTTAGTTAGATGGCTAACTAACCCATCATCTTCTTAGTTTGGTCCTCCTCCTCTTTTCCCTTCACCTTGCCATGTCCTGGTCATGGCCCGGAGTTAAGCACTTGTTGCATGAGGCCCTGAACTGTGTTTTGTGGCAAGGATGTCTCTGCTCTTCCTTCAGCAAGTCTGTCTGCCCCTTGTTGGCTTCATTGTTGGCCTCAACTACCTGCCACGCCCCTGCAAGGTGCTGAGATACAGTCTGAGTCACACCTTGACTGTGGTCTGTGCCTTCAGGGAACTTCCACTGAGGAGATGCAGTGTCTAGGTTCACAGTAATTACAAGCGGAAATAGGACAGTGGCCAGGAGAGAAGAAGCTAGGTGGGGAGCAGTCAGGAACCCTCAAGATCTGACACAGCAGTCACTCATAGCCCTGCCCAACCAGGGATCTCCCAGCTCATCCGTAGACAGCCTCAAGGACCCCAATCATGTTGGTTTTCAAGGCCATCTGCTGAGGAAAAAAAAAAAAAATCTTGTTTTTCTCAGGTCCAATAGAGACAATTTTGAAGAATTTTATTTTTTTCAAGCAACTTTATAAAAACAACAATAGAAAAATCAATGTCTCCCTCCCGTCCATAGCCATGAGAGTAGCTGTGAAAGGGGTGTGTTCACAGGTCAAATACTCCTTTGCTTCACGAACCTTACATGCAGCCACACGTCACCTTAGCTGCTCCAGCTTTCGTGACCCACACAACCCCATTTCATTTTCTCACCCCTGTCTATCTGACTTTAGTTAGGCCAAGCAACTGAGACCCTACCTAAGGTTATTTGGATTGGATGGAATTATCCTGAATCCAAGCCCAGGCTGCCCTTCCAGTCAGATCATAGCCATATTTGCTCTCTGCAGCCACCCTGGCTCCTAAGGGAGAGAAGCCCCCCTTCCCAAGGCCTCCAGGTCCCTCTAAACTCAGGCCCTCTGGCAATGACTTGGGCATAGCTTCCTTGGCTTGGGACCCTGGGCATCCTGCTTCACCCTGGTGTACCTTCCTGAGTCCTTTCCTTTGTCCAGTGAAGGCTGCTTCTGCTCCCTGGGGAAGTCTTGCTTCTTCCCCTGCTGCCCTAGGCCTGTGGCTGGGACTAGTCTTCCTGGGCACCTCTATCACCTGAAGCTTGTCCCATACCCTCCACATCTACTGCAGGCTCTCCTAGGTCTGGTGCTTGGAAACCAGCTAGTTCTCAGCTCACTGATGTTAAAAAAGGTGGTAGAGCCCAGCATGGTGGCATCCTAGCATTTGGGAGGTAGAAGCAAGAGGATTGAGAGTTCAAGGCCAACCTGGGCTACATAGTGAAAGGAAGGAAGAAGAAGGGAGGGAAAGAAGCAGGAAGGGAGGAAAGAAGAGAGTAAAAAACAAAGTGAAAAATCAAGGCCTTCTAAGCTCTGGTGAACAGTTCCTCCCACTTCCCTTATCCTCCAGATCTAATCGGCCCCTTCCACTGAGTGAGCATCTTCTAGGTACCAGGCACTGTCAGGTCTGTACCTCTGTGATCCTCCCAACTCTATGAAAGCTGTTAGGCTGTTATTCTCATCTCACAGATGAGGAAATGGAAGCCTAGCAAGGTTAATTGTGTACCTTGGGCTCACTTACCAACAAATGGCAAAAAAAAGTTTCAGACCCAGGTCGTACTGCACAGCAGAGGAGGTCATTAGTATACAGGATTGCTTCCCTAACCACTTAAAATCTTTGTCCCTTGACATTCTGAGATCCCTATAACAAGGTAACAGGAAATTGGAGGCCTTGTGGGAGAGGCAGGAGGGCATGCAGGTGGAAGACAGGGTATAGTAGCCATGCTGAGACTGAAGTAGTGCCCTTCTGCTCTTTGCTCAGCTCCCTGGAGATGACCTGCTATGACAGCGATGACGCCAACCCTCGCAGTGTGTCCAGCCTCTCCAACCGCTCCTCCCCTCTCTCTTGGCGCTATGGCCAGTCCAGCCCAAGGCTGCAGGCTGGTGATGCGCCCTCGGTGGGTGGAAGCTGCCGTTCGGAGGGGCCACCCGCCTGGTACATGCATGGGGAGCGAGTCCACTACTCCCACACCATGCCCATGCGAAGCCCCAGCAAGCTCAGCCACATCTCCCGCCTGGAGCTGGTCGAGTCCCTGGACTCAGATGAGGTGGACCTCAAGTCTGGCTATATGAGCGACAGTGACCTCATGGGCAAGACCATGACAGAGGATGATGACATCACTACTGGGTGAGCACAGGGGCCCTTGGGTATCTGGGGCAAGAGGCTGGGAGGACAGTGGAAAACAGTAATGTGGAACACCTTGAAAGTGGGAGTTAAATTCCAAATGAATATGACAAAAGGGATTTGTGTATAGTTTCTGACTGTCTCTGCATCTGGTGTGATGTGTTCTAGACTTGGCTATAGTGGGTGGAGCCACATCTGAAGAGTTACTTGGTCAATGAAGGTACCTTTCTCTCATTGGCCTCTGTGGCTGTCATTCTGTGATATGCCCAAAAATGGCTAAAGAGCCTTGGAAAACCATTTCAGTCACAGTTCCTTTGTGACTTCCTCTTCCTCTGTGCTTCCCCATTTGCAAAAAGAGGTTAATATACCATATCCTACTGAGGTTGATAATACCATATCTTGCCTGCTGTGATGAGCAAATGAGAGTGAGTTGATGAAAGTGCAAATCAAACAGAAAGTGGGGTGATATCTTTGCTCTCTCTGCCAGGGGTTCCCATTATGCTGGTCTCTAATCTTGCCCCACTGGCCCCTGGTCTCTACTCCTTGGGTTACTGCTTTTGCAAACGTTCTACCACTAACACAATGTCCTCATCTCTACCCCCAGTCTATTGGACCCTTCTTTCCTGCCCTTTGCCCCACAGGGACCCTCACCTTCTGCTGTAGTTGAAGATATTGGGCCTGTGGAGATAACTTGGACAGAAGTGGCAGTCTGGGAAATAAGGGGAGATGATAGGAAGAAAGAACTGTTAGAGGCTCTGTGGGTCCTGGCAACTGTTTTAAACCCTGAGACCAGAGAACCACAGTGGTTCTGGAAGCTTCTCTGGGATGTCTCTCTGCTGACTGCCACATCCATCTTCTTTCTTGGTTGATTGGGACCCCTAAGGGCCCACACAAGAAGCAGCAGCACCCCTCCCTACCTCTCAGGGTCTTATAGACTACTACCAGGGACTGCCCCTCCCCAGTAAAAATCTCTGGCTTGAGGAAAGCAGTCTCTTGAAAAAGACTGCAAGCCAAGCTCCAGGCCATCCCACCCCACCCCTGAGGATAAACTTGGCGGGGTCTGGTCAAGTCCTGTCCAGCTGATGAGGCTGCTCTGGAGCAAAACCAACTGACGCATGAATGGGTTGTTTACTGACTGGTTAATCCCAGGGGCAGCCCAACCTCACGCTCAGATCCGCCAGCCTGGAGCTGGAACCAGAGACAAGCCATCCAGCACACAGGCACTGAGCAGCTGCTGTGGTCAGAGCCCTGTGCAGGACAGGAGGGAGGGTGTCGGAGGAGTCCCTTATAGCCTGTGCCCCAGGAAGCGCCTCTGAGGAGGTGTCAGGTCCCTGCCCCTTGAGAGTCCCAGCCAGACAAGGCAAGGGGAACTCCAAGATCTGTGGGATGGAAAAGTTCCCTGTGTGTTGGAGGGACCATGGCCCCAGTTCTAGGGAGACCCTAGACTGGGGAACCTCCCCACTGCTCTGAGAGCCCCTCCCCTCACAATGTCCTTGGCAGAAAATTCCTCAAGTGTTGGAAGACATGAGATGCCTCCCCTGGAGGGGACCCACCCTGAGGAAGGCCACAGGACTTCTAGACTTAGCTAGCTGTGTGAACTTGGGCAAGGTAGTTGACTCCTCAGGCTTCAATTTGTCTATCTGCTAAATGCAGATGCTACTAGAACAATCTCAGGGTCCTTGTGAGGATTGACAGAATTAATATGTAAAAAAGGGAGACTCTGGAGAGTCCCAGACCATGCGGGAGGCAGTGCTCTTGCCCTCGGGGAGGGTATAGTTTGGCCAGAGCACCACTCATCTAGAATCAACAGCCAGGTCAGATCTGTTAGCAGCTGCGCACATAAGAGTGAGGACACAGAGTGCCACCAGGAGAACAGGAAAGGAAAGTCACCTTTATCCACTTTTATCCACTCCCTCATACGCTTTCTTTATCTTCTCCTCTGAGCAGTGTGTGTGTGTTCCTGAGTCAGTTAAGAAACCAGCTGCATTCCCAAGGCCCTCCACACCTACCCACTGGAAGTCCAGGGAAGCCTGGCATTGGCCTGAGGAAGTGGAGTAATTGCTGGCATGACGTTTTCTGAGAGTGGACCATGATGTAGACTCAGTGCTAGTTCACAACATAATTTCCAGTGCAGTTTTTAGGGTCAGTCAGTTAGCAGTAAGTCTTAACCTTCCTTTCAAGGTTTCTTTGTCATGTAATTCCCTGCCAGAACTGTAAAACACAGCCATCTTTTTTGTTTTAGTTGTTGTTAAAAGGAATCAATTTATAATGCCCGGAAATTTAAATGTAAACAGTTGCTCCTCGATTATGCATCTTCATGCTTACGTGTTGTGTTTTCTTGGGGATTTTTTGTTTTGTTTTTTTAAATTAGAAACAGGGTGTTCTGAATTCCAGCAGATCTTTGAGTAACTGCAAATTCGAGGGGTCTTTGTTGAGTCTCCTCTTGGTCCTCTCTTCTCCACTGAGGTTTTGTCATTTAGAAAATGTTGTATTTCTAAGAAAATTGTTTTTGCTGTTCATAAAATGGACCAGGCTATTCCTGCAGAGGCTATGTTCAGAGCTTCCCCTCCTGCCCACATGGCCACCCAGTGGCTGTCATTCACCTCCCCCAAAAGGTTCCCAGCAGCACTGGGCCACCAGAGCAGTGAGGCTGGTTCCTGGGCTCCTGCCTAACACCTTGGGTGACACAATGGGCCACAAGAGCTCCAAGTGAGTCATGAAGGATGACAGTGGCTTTGACCCTTTCCCAGTGCTCTTTGTTATCTGCTGGGGGTCGCCATGGGGTATGGGGGTCTTCTTAAGCCAATGTATAGCTTCAAGTCAGCTCGCCCTACTCCATCTTGCACCAGGCTGCTTCCCACGTAGCCACTCAGCAAACTCAAGAATTAAACTCTTCAAACAAAACAGTAAACTAGGACAGAGAAAGTGACTCTCATGCTGCTCCCAAAATAATCGCACGCTTTAAATATTTAGTTCTTAAAAATGATGGTAAAGTCTACATAAGATCTACGATTTTAGGCCAACCACTTGAAAGTGCAAGGGTCAGTGCATCACGTGCCTTCACATCGTTGTGAGCTGCAGTCACCACCTTTACCTCCACCACCTACCACCCATAACCCACTATCACCACCACCACAATCACTATGACTGATGCCATCACCACTACCACCACCACCCACCATCACCACCACCACCAACACTCACCATCACCACCCACACCATCCATCCATTCAGAATGGATCATCCCAAACTGAAACTCCATACTTACCAAGCAATGACTTCCCTTCCTTCCTCCCTCCAGCCCCTGGAAACCTCCACTCTACTTTTTGTCTCTGTGAATTTGATGACTCCAGGTAGCTCATCTAAGTGGAATTATACAGTATTCGGGTTTTTGTGACTGGCTTATTTTACCTAGCCTAATGTCATCAAAGTTTATCATATTGTAGGATGTGTCAGAATTTCCTTCTTTTTTAGACTGGAGGTGTGGCTCAAGTGGCAGAGTGCTTGCTTTGCAAGCATAAAGCCCTAAGTTCAAACCCCAGTCCTAGCAAAAATAATAATAATAATAATTTCCTTCTTTTTTTAAGGTTTACTAATATTCCGCCATATGTATCTACTATATTTTGTTTATCCATTCATGCACTGATGGGTTGTGTATACCCTATGGCCGTTGTGAGCATTGGTACTGTGAACATTGATTATGAATATCTGTTCAAGTCCCTAATTTCAGTTCTTTTGGGTTTATACACAGGAATGGAATTGCTGGACTATGTGGTAATTTTATGGGTAACTTTTTAAAGAACCTCTATACTATTTTCCACAGAGACTGTACTATTTTACCAGTTTAATATTTTATATCTTTACTGTTCACTAAATTCACTTTCTTTTTTAAACAATAGCCATCCTAATTGTGTATGTCAGATTTCTGTTGCTGTAACAAAATACCGAGACCATCGATTTAAAAAGAGGAAAGGTTTATTTTGGATTACAGTTTCAAAGTTTTTCTGTCCACATTTGGTTGTCCCCATTGCTTTTGGGTCTGGGGCAAGGCAGTACATAGTGGAGGGAGAACAAGTGGAAACTGTCCACCCTGGCTGGGGAGAGGGAAGGAGAGAGAGAGAGAGAGAGAGAGAGAGAGAGAGAGAGAGAGAGAGAAAGAGAAAGAGGAAGAAGAGAGGAAGAGAACAAGGTTGCACAGTCCCCTTCAGGAACACATGCCCAGTGACCTAAGACCTCCTTCCTGGCTCTGCCTCCTAAAAACTCCACCACCTCCTAAAAGCACCACAGGCTGAGTATGAGTACCAAGTACCAAGCCTCCAATACATGGGCCTTTGGGGGATATTTAGGATCCAAATTGTAACACTAATATGAAGTAGTATTTGATTGTCTTGATTTTTTTTCAGTACTGGGAGTTGAACTCAGATATCACTTGAGCCACTCTACCAACCAGCCTGATTGTGTTTTTTTATAAATATATTTTATTGATATAATAATTATGCATGTTTGTGGGGGTATAGTGTGACATTTCAATGCATGTGTATAGTGATCAGAACAGGTAATTGGTATATCATCAACTAAGATATTTATAATCTCTTTCTGTTGAAGACATTCAAAATCCTCTCTACTAGCTGTTTTGCAATATACAAATACCCCTTGTCAAAAACAGAATATTAGAAGTAGTTCACCTACCCTGCTGCACTCCTATGTCCATTAGCCATCCTCTCTTCTTCCTTCCCTCCCCCATACCCTTATGGCTGAACAATACTCCAGTGTACATTTATACCACATTTTCCTACTGACTTGTCCATCGGTGAATACCCAGGTTGGTTCCATATCTTGGCTGTTGTTAAATGTGAATGCAGGTGTCCCTTCAACATGTCATGTTCGTTTTCTTTGGGTGCATACATACCCACTCGTGGGATTGCTGGATCATGTGGCAGTTCTGTTTGTAGTTTTTTGAGGAAAATTATACTGTTTTCTATAATGGCTCTACTAATTTACATCCCATTAACGGTTTGGGAGAAGTCTCCCTGTCCACATCCTCACCAGCATTTGTTAATTTTTATCCTTTTGATAACAGCCATTCTAGTAGGGGCAAGATTGTATCTCATTGTGGTTTTGAACTGCATTTCCCCAATGACTGGTGGTGCTAAGCATCTTCACGTGCTATTGCCCATTTGTCTCTCTTCTTTGTGGAATATCTATTCAAATTCTTTGCCCATTTTTTTTAGTTGGATGGTTTGGGTTTTGCTGGGAGTTCTTCATATATTCTGGATATTAATCTTTTATCAGATACATGATTCATAAGTATTTTCTCCCATTCTGTGGGTTGCCTTTCATTCTGTTGATAGTGTCCTTTGATGCACAAGAAGGTTTTTCATTGTTTTATTTTGTTTGGCTGTTTTCTTTAGACAGGATCTCTCTATGTAGCCCAGGCTGGCCTCGGGCACTGGGATTAGAGGTGTGTGCCCACTGTGTCTGGATGAAGTTTTTCATTTTGATGAAGTCCAGTTTATCTATTTTTTTTCTTTTGTTGCCTGTGCTTTGGATATCAAATCTAGAAGATCATGATAAATCCAATCCCATGCAGCCTTCCATCTATGTTTTCTTCTAAGAGATTTACAGCTCGGGTGTTCTCTAGACCTTTCCCCAACTGCTTCCCCCAACACAAAAAGTCCCCACCTTCTTTCAACATTTTCCAAAATGACTCAGTCTTCCAGACTGCCTCGTTGTCCCCGTCACCCTCCTCTGGAAGCTCTCAAGTTGTCAACAATCCTCTTAGAGCTGGCACCTAGACTGATCACCTGCTTAACACTAGAAGTAGTCCTGCCAGGGAATTCTTCAAATCATGACACCCCAGACAACTTCACATTGGCTGCTGACTGTCCGAGATGACAGCTTGGGACATTTTTACCACTTAAAAAGAGAGAAGGAATTTGGTTTTCTAAAAATAGGAAAGTCTGGAATTTAATCTAACTAAGAAGATAAGTCTCTCAGCCATCTGTCTTCCCATTCAGGACATCCAGGGTCAGGTGGAGGGAGTAGAGCCCACCCAGAGGTGGACACAGGTGCTGGGGATGGGGCCACCCGCTCCCAGCTGGACAGGAGCTCCAGCCTCTCTCTCTGCCTTGGCCTAGATCTACCTCTTAGTGTCTCCATTTCTGCCTGTGTTGGGGGTGGCAGTAATGGATGGGAAACTGGAAAGCCAAGCCAGCCACAATCCTGCCAAATCCCACAACTCAAGGGAGTGCTGTTCACATGGTGCAGAGGTGTGCCATCTGCAGCCCTGGCAAGACTGCTGTCCAGTGACCAATACCAAGGACCACAGACAAGCAGGCCCCATCTTGAGGGAGCTCTGTGTACATGCGGCACAGCACAGCCCAGTGGACATTTCTTGGTGACTGTCTGCACCCTTGGTCTCTCCTCAGGTGGTTCTCTGCACTGTGTGTGGCTGATGTCCCAGGCTTCTTGTTTCCTCCTGTCTCTCCTCCCTTCTCTCCACAGCCTGTCCTCTTGAACTGTGCTTGGGGGCTCAGGAACAGATGGGTTTCGTTTCCTCCTTGGCTCTGAAGTGACCTGACATTGAAAAATGTCAACTAAAATAAACTGTAGGCCCCTGCTGGTTCTTGACTCCCAGAGGCAGTGAGCTGCAGCCTTAAAGAGACACTTCCAGCCTTGTAATATAGCCTCTATCTCTTCAGTCTCTCCTGAGAGGGGGAGCCCTATTTGTGCCCCATAGCATGGCCTGTATGGGAATCCTTAATCCCAAGATACCCT